TTTTACTAGGAGTAGCTCTGGGGTGAGCGACTCTTTAAAATAACCTTAAAAAATTTCTAAACACCGGATGGGTGGAACCAGTTCAAAACAAGTATTTTTTAAACTTTTTTTTTGATAAACTATCTCTGTGAAAAACTTAGAAACAACCAATCATGATCCATAACTAACACAATTACAATAATTTGTATCAAAGCAGAATAAATTCAACTTAGCAAACTTATATATATTAAAAATGAAACAATATTAGCAGACAATTGATGAAAAAAAATTTGCAGACAATTGATGAAACAATATTAGCAGACAATACAGATTATGTATAGGACCCTGTATTTTTTTTTAACTTCGTAAATCATATTTCAAGTGCTGCATTTATAAGTATATCCGTACACAGAGATTATCTAAGAGTAGCTCCTTTAACAACTGACACCACAACCTTAAATTATAACGCAAAATTTATTCAAAGGACAAGCAAAAAAGTTTAAATTCAACATTTCTCAATACACAGGAAACCCTTAACGGTACCAAAAATTTTACACAAAAAGATATGCAAACTCCATCACATTTTTAAAGCGAAGAACTAGTTGAAACACAACCTATAAGAACACAACAAACTATCTCTCCTATTCATCCAACACTTACACCACCACACAAAAAATAAAACTCCTTTTCCATCAGTGACCTTACAATCAACAGTCCCAAAATATTTACATATGGATTAACAAACAAATAGACCAATAACTAAAAAGCGATGATGACAATAAGGACACTCAATTTGAAATACCTTCGCAAGACATAGTTATGATTTTTTCGCAAATAATAACATTAGTTATCCAATAGCACGACCCCTCTATACAACAAAAAATCATTTTCAAAAACACAATTATATCCAACAGGCACCAAAACCAATAACCCAATGTGTAACTTTTAGTGACAAAAAAACTTCAGACAGATTGAACTGAAAACTATCCATTTTTTCAACAAAATAAAAAGTCAACCCGAAAAACAAGCAATTCATTAGAAACCAAGCAGACACCTCTGAAGATGAAGATTACTTTCATCAAAACCAACAACAATACAAAGCAATTAACAAAAAATCACTGGAATACTATAGTTCAACCAGTTGATAATTTTCAACCAGAGATTTTCGAACCTTACATAAACTCTCAACAACCAAGGCAATTACAACAACAATCTTTTCAACGACAACACATTCTGGATACTCAGTAGAAGACGACTAGAAGTGCTGTTAAATCTAACCTAATCCTAAACAAAGGCCCGAAACCTATAAACACACCACTTCATCAAAAATGGGTTCACATCGCACAGCACTGATGCAAACCACACTCGATGGCGGAGCCCGAAAATGGTTTTCAGTAACACCACTAGAAGTTAAATCCGATTGAAATTTATTGATTCAACGTTATTCAAAAACATTTGACTCTGAACGAAATAAACAACATCAAAAAGTTTTGTGCAACGAAAGTTGTAGACTTCCGATTGAAACCATAAAACAAATCGCAGTAAGAAACAAAACCCTAGTACGCAAAACTTATTCTTTCAATCCTTATGATTACAAAAAGATGAAAGTGAGATAAATTCTAATGATGACCTTAGCACCACAATTAATAAAAAGAATCACAAGCATCATAAATCCGAGAATCTTAAATAGATTTCGAAAAACTAGTAGACAAGTTAGAACAAGTTGAAATCATCAGGAAACTACAAGAAAAAGAAAATTTAAAGCTACAAAAATAGAAAATGTTCAAACAACTACTTCCCATTATACAAAATTCATGACTTCGACAACGAATTAGCAGAAAAAATTACTGAAATCCTGAATGTCTATGAAAAGAATCCAAATTTTGAGGGCAAGCCTTCATTCAAAAATGGTGTAACTATTGTCGCAGATTCGGACATAGCATTGCTGAATGTAGACACAAACAACAAGATAATTTAAATAGACCACCAAAAAACAGAGAACTAAACATACCTTTTTACCAATACATGATAAAAGACCAGAGTTTTCTGAACAAAGGCCTGCATAGTAATAAAAGCTCAGGAAACCCACTCCCAAATAGCTATAATATTAAAAGATCAAAATCCCCCTGCTCTAAAAATTTTCGCGGAAGACCACTAGATCGACGATATTCACAAAACTGTTCACAAAATCGATATAGTAGATCAAATAGTCAAAAGGATCAGTACAGAAATAATTACTCTAGATCGAACTCTAAAAGAAGTAATTACTCAATTTATAATAAAAATTGCTCATATTCAAACCGTTGGAGTAAAAACTATCCCAAGGACCGCTCAAGAACTTCTACAAACGACCGCAATCGAAATAGATACTACTCTTACAATAACTCACAAAACTATTCTGACAATAGACCGCATAATAATTAATTATAAAACTAGATCCCGTGATAATTCTAGAAATACAAACAGCAACTCAGATCAAAGCAGATCAAGAAAATTTTCTCAGTCTACGTATCCAAACAACTCACAATATTCAAGTCGACAAAATCAAAACTACAGAAGTAGTACACCAAAACACCAACGACAAAAAAATCAAGTAAAATCTAACAATCAACAAATGAAACAATCCCAGAACAAAGAGACGGTAAAACACTCCTCTGGCTTCACCCACCAGAACAACGTCGCTTCTGGTACATATGCCTACCATGTGCTAAAATCCCAACCCTCAACGCTCAATTTTTACTAGGAGTAGCTCTGGGGTGAGCGATTCTTTAAAATAACCTTAAAAAATTTCTAAACACCGGATGGGTGGAACCAGTTCACAACAAGTATTTTTTAAACTTTTTTTTTGATAAACTATCTCTGTGAAAAACTTAGAAACAACCAATCATGATCCATAACTAACACAATTACAATAATTTGTATCAAAGCAGAATAAATTCAACTTAGCAAACTTATATATAATAAAAATGAAACAATATTAGCAGACAATTGATGAAAAAAAATTTGCAGACAATTGATGAAACAATATTAGCAGACAATACAGATTATGTATAGGACCCTGTATTATTTTTTAACATCGTAAATGATATTTCAAGTGCTGCATTTATAAGTATATCCGTACACAGAGATTATCTAAGAGTAGCTCCTTTAACAACTGACACCACAACCTTAAATTATAACGCAAAATTTATTCAAAGGACAAGCAAAAAAGTTTAATTTAAACATTTCTCAATACACAGGAAACCCTTAACGGTACCAAAAATTTTACACAAAAAGATATGCAAACTCCATCACATTTTTAAAGCGAAGAACTAGTTGAAACACAACCTATAAGAACACAACAAACTATCTCTCCTATTCATCCAACACTTACACCACCACACAAAAAATAAAACTCCTTTTCCACCAGTGACCTTACAATCAACAGTCAATTCATCAGTCGTCCCAAAATATTTACATATGGATTAACAAACAAATAGACCAATAACTAAAAAGCGATAATGACAATAAGGACACTCAATTTGAAATACCTTCGCAAGACATAGTTATGATTTTTTCGCAAATAATAACATTAGTTATCCAATAGCACGACCCCTCTATACAACACAAAATCAATTTCAAAAACACAATTATATCCAACAGGCACCAAAACCAATAACCCAATGTGTAACTTTTAGTGACAAAAAAACTTCAGACAGATTGAACTGAAAACTATCCATTTTTTCAACAGAATAAAAACTCAACCCGAAAAACAAGCAATTCATTAGAAACCAAGCAGACACCTCTGAAGATAAAGATTACTTTCATCAAAACCAACAACAATACGAAGCAATTAACAAAAAACCACTGGAATACTATAGTTCAACCAGTTGATAATTTTCAACCAGAGATTTTCGAACCTTACATAAACTCTCAACAACCAAGGCAATTACAACAACAATCTTTTCAACGACAACAGATTCTGAATACTCAGTAGAAGACGACTAGAAGTGCTGTTAAATCTAACCTAATCCTAAACAAAGGCCCGAAACCTATAAACACACCACTTCATCAAAAATGGGTTCACATCGCACAGCACTGATGCAAACCACACTCGATGGCTGAGCCCGAAAATGGTTTTCAGTAACACCACTAGAAGTTAAATTCGATTGAAATTTATTGACTCAACGTTATTCAAAAACATTTGACTCGGAACGAAATAAACAACATCAAAAAGTTTTGTGCAACGAAAGTTGTAGACTTCCGTTTGAAACCATAAAACAAATCGCAGTAAGAAACAAAACCCTAGTACGCAAAACTTATTCTTTCAATCCTTATGATTACAAAAATATGATAGTGAGATAAATTCTAATGATGACCTTAGCACCACAATTAATAAAAAGAATCACAAGCATCATAAATCCGAGAATCCTAAATAGATTTCGAAAAACTAGTAGACAAGTTAGAACAAGTTGAAATCATCAGGAAACTACAAGAAAAAGAAAATTTAAAGCTACAAAAATAGAAAATGTTCAAAAAACTACTTCCCATTTAGACAAAATTCATGACTTCGACAACGAATTAGCAGAAAAAATTACTGAAATCCAAATATATAATTATAGGAGATATAAGAGTAGGATTTAAATCGGTTTCAGACTAAAAAGTTGCTCGAATATATCCGGCCAAAAATAAGATAGCGTGACAAACAGACGGTGTACCTTATCTGAAATTACTCTATGACTGAGACACTCCGGACTTAAACTCAATTTGCCAGTTTTTGTAGAACATTTTAAAGACTTTGGCGCCCTTTCAAAAAAAAACATCCCAAAAACGATAACGTTCTCGCGCACTTTTTGGAAGGTTTCGTCTAAAAATTGCCTTTTCACTCGCGCTAACGCAGCCCCAACGTTAATTGACTATTTGCCGAGCCGCTGTTTTTGTGATGGTTGGTGGTTGCGGGGCAGTCTTTTATTTTGATCCGAGAATCTCAAAGAGAACTTTTAGTCTTACATTTATTTTTCGTGTTCTTATGTTGTGAATAGGTTGCATCCGAAATGAAAAGCGACGAGAAAAATGACAAGAACAAAAACATAATCGACATAGAGGTTCCGAAAAAGTACAAGGAAGTGGAGGGCTGGGTGAGACAGTTGCGAGCAGACCTGAAAAGGGAAAACCAGGAGCCCATTTTGAGCGGACAGAAACTACGAGACAAGATAAACGGACATTTGCTGAAGCAAAACATGCGAGAATTAGATTCAGCTGAGTTTAACACCATGATGCAATTTATGCACGAAAACGGAATCATTTTGCACTACGAAAGCACTCTTCTGAATGACAAGTACTTCGTAGACCCGCAATGGATGGCCGATCAATTGGCCGAAGTGATCACCGTTAAAGAGAACAAAAACTACGGCAGCAGTGGAATTGCCAAAGTGAGTGACTTCTTAAGTCGCATCTCAAAAATTGCTGCAGTGAGTAAGTTCAAAACTTGGCCCAGTTTATTCATCCCGCTGCTGTCTCAGTTTGAAGTGGCTCTTAAGTTCAGTGAGAACTACATGTTGATTCCGTCGTCGCTGCCGACCGAGAAGGAACACATTGAGAGGTATGACAACCAGCTGAATCGCGACATCCCCACTGCTAGCGTCGTGGCACCAGAGTACTCGGGTTTTGCCGCCGTCTCATCTCTAGAACCGAAGCAAGGCCAATCGAGACGCAGAGGCATCACAAGGAAACACTACAAAGTTTTCAGCAAAGTTGAGATTCTAAAAGGGGAACCACCCCACGCGCGCGATCTGCTGGACACCGACAAAACTCTTCTGACACTTCGCTTGCCCGAAGCAGAAAACGTGCGATGTCTTTCTAAGTTTATGATCTTTTCTTACATCCCATTCGGTTTTTGGGCTCGATTTATAGCCCGAATAATTTCAGACGAGCAGTTTTCGCTAACAGCAGGCGACATCTTTGGACAACAGTTTTCAAGTCAGTCGTCTGAAACAGGGAGTAATTTGTTTACACCATTGGTGGACTACGCGTTGAACTCTGGATTTAGCTGGCGCTGCTGGAAAACGGGCGTGGGGTTATTTCTGTGGAGCCACATTCCCGTTCTGGAAGTGAAAGAGGTTCTCTGCGAGGACCAATGCCGAGAAGTATCTCCTTTCGCCCAGCTGCCGGAAACAGTTAAGATACGAAAACACGTTCTCATAAACCCTCAAGGTCATATGGCTAGAACTCTGAACATCGAAGACACTTTTAGAGTCAAAACTGATGTACAGTTCCAAGAGCGAGAGCTGATCAAGTCTTTTCCGAAACAAGTGCTGTCAATCAAAGTGTTCATGCCCAGTGTTACAATCATAGAACAACACATGTTTCATAATTACAGCTTATCCGAGTGCACGTACTTGGGGCCTAAATTGAGAACGATCGCTCATTTTTTTGAGATCATATCTCAACATGTGGACATGTTGTTGACGGAGTGGTACCCCAACTTGGGTCAGAGACCCCAGATGATGGGAGACAGGTAAAATGGGAGAATTCTTTTCGCATTTTAGTTTATACTCAAACCAATTTCCCTCTATTAGATGCTCCAGACATTAAGAGAGTTTTGTTTGAAAGCGTGATTGATGTTTCTACATTTAGTTGTGGAGAGCACTCGATAGAAAGGGTCTTGCCCTGTCCCAATTGTCTGTCGGAGAGAGACAACACAGTGCTCCCAGTCACTCATCTTCATCTGCAGTGCAGTGTGGAAAGTGTGACCAAATTCCAGCAACGCAACAACACATCAGGCACCTGTGCTAGATCTTTTTCGATAACATTTTAAATTTTATTTTTTTTAAATTAGTTAATTTTTGATTTAGTTTTTTTGAAAATCTAACCTTATCTTTTATTTGGCACAATTCAATTTTTTTGCAGCGAAAGCGATTTTGGCTATAGAAAGAAGGAACTTGCTTTTGTTTGTTTTTCCGGATGGCTACTTTTTCTTCTACTGTCAGTTTATATACTTGCCTGTTTGCAGCTATCTTCAAAGAAGTAGCGGCCAATAGGCGAGATACAAATGCAGACTCCACCTCCAGTTCTGAGGAAGAGGAAGACGGAAGGCCCCATAAGCAGAGAAAGAAACCACACTTTCACCAGGGTAGAGCATATTACATGGCAAGGCAACGATTTGTCGAAAGCCACAAATGGTCGAAAGCGACAGCTAATTCGTTGTATTTTAAAAAGCGACGATTTGTAGAGAGCGGCTATTTGCACCAAGCCACACTAAGTCCTGACAAAAAACTTACTTTGATCAGAAACAATTTAAGTTCTAACAATGAAACAACAAAGAAATATAAAACACGCGACTAGAATTCAATTAGAAAATCCCTCAGTTGTCAAAATGCGCGAACATAGTGGTCCTCTCTTGTGTTTTGCTTCAAAAAGGGCACTAATGGCAGCACGTTTGACACTGAAACAAAAAACAGGATTGAACAGCTTGACGGGGAAAATTTTTAACCCCCCCCCCCTTAAAACAAGCCTAACCCCCGACCTGAAAAAAATAGCTTTCTCAAAGCCACTATCTTATAAATTTCTGGAGTTCGCCCATTTCTCCTGGCAGAAAGGCGCGCCTAACTTAACTGTCATGCTCACCGTTTTTATGTACGATATCATCGTTGAAAGTTGTTCAAAATGTCTTACAAGGCTTTCTACTCCATCTCCATGTGGTTTTATTTGTGACGTTTTGTATTGGTTTCTTATGAAAGTTTGCCCAATTTGACCACCTTAGACGAAACGATGTGATTTTGAAAGATAAAACAAAAATTAATAATTTTCCAGGTACGAATTTGCCTGTTACAAATTATCGCCGGATCTACTTAACAATTGCCCTCCCTTTGGTACCTTCTTAAGAATTGCCAGCCCTATTAATAAAAGCAGTAAATTAGCGCTAGAGCTTAGTATTGAGACTTCTAATTTTGCTGCAATCTGTTTAGCGCTAGAGCTTTGTATTGAAAATTCTAATTTTGCTGCAATCTACTTAACAATTTCCCCCTTTTTTTTCTTAAAAGTGGAGGGGGGGAAATGTTAAGTAGATCCTTATCGCCTAAATAAATCGTTGCTTTTTCAAAAAAGTGCGAATGGTCGCTTTCGACCAATGTCGCTTTCTACGAGTTATCGCCTCACGATATTGCATGACTGTCTATAAAAATAACATCTCACAAAAGCATCATGTCTCCCAAAAGCCGTCTCACAAAAGCATCATCTTTTTGATGTAACTATTGATTGAACCAGGCTACGATGAAGAACAAATAATTTTGGAATAGTCTTGTTAGTCTACGTGAATTTTTTTTGTAAAAATTAGTCATTGAGCCAAATTGTTGAAACAAAAATTAACAAGTTGTGGGAAAACATGCAGACACTGCTACCGCTTACCATCAACTTTTTGATTGGTTAAAAAATCTAACAAACAAAAAAACAATCTCGGAGTTTGAATTAACCAACCTTAGCAAAAATTGTTTGATAATTCCTTGAAAACTTATCTGACAAAAATACAAAAACAAGACGAAGCCCTGAATGTTCTGATTGCCTTTTAAGGTTTATGGAGCACTTATAACATAAATATTATTAACAAATCAAATGTAATAAAAAAAATGGAAAATTTTTTTTCTAATTGAAATTTTTTCTATAAAAATTGCCCCCCCCCCCCCCACACGCCATATAAACTACAAAAGAATAAATTTTGTTCCTTGTTACACACCAATTATGGTAAATAAGCTTCTTTCAATCAATTTGGAACAATTTCAAAGACGGATTAAACCTCCGCTTACGCGTTAATAGCCGGAAATTTATCGCGCGATAATTGTGGTCAAAATAGCAATCTTTTAACCCCCATATCTTTACGAAAAATAATTACAGGTGGAATATCTTTTCAAATTCAAGCTCAGGACAAAAATGCTTTCTGAATGATTATAAAAAAACTCCGTCAAAAATATGTAGTTAAAATGTCGAAATTTGTCTGAAGAATTTCGAGCACAAATATTCCGTTACTTTCGTATTGAATGTCGGAACAATAAAAAACATTTTAATTCCTAGTGGTCAATTTCTTGCGGTTATACAGAGGCGAAGCTGTGCTGCGCAAGCACTAGCAAGAAAACGACAAAAGAAGCTCTATAAGTGCACTAAGAAAAAGAAGAAATAATCTTCGACTTAGTAAAAACTCGGCCATGTCTCGGATTCGGTCTGCGACCTAGAGACTATGAATCCCACACACTAAATACTAAGTCACTGCTACTAAATAATACACTAAGAAAAGCCACATATAAAGCAGAGAACAGATGGTATGAAGTTTCTAATGCTACAAATCGTGATTATAGCAAGATAGCCACCAAATAAGCAAACTCTTTTAATGAAACTTTTATTTGCGAGTTAAGCTAGGAAAAAAGAAGATTCGCTTTAATATACTAACGCTCTCAAGTGTAAATCTATGCTGGTGAAAAATATATCGCTACTTCCAGAGAGCGATGTTGCAACCCCTACTCCGACACCCACAGACGAGGACAAGTGCCTCTCATTTGTCAAACGGGACAGTATAGACGACTCTGAGCAGCCAGCGCTTCGAATGAGGTCGGGCACTTCTAAACTAGACAGAGTGAACAGCAGACTACATAACGTCATGCGGTACTTTTTCTTTTTTCGTTTTCATCATCTCAAATCCCAAAAGTTAATCTTATCATAACTAAGACCTCAACCTTTTTTAGAGCTTTGAAAGTTAATAATCAACTATTGACTTAAGTCTCAACGCTAAATGTGTTCTAAAACCCCATTTCTCATAAATTTTCAGGGGCGAATTTAGTCGGGCAGCCATATAGTCATATAAAGGGTCGCCCTTTGGTACTATTTTACATCATCCATTTTGAGTCAACCGACCCTGAAATTCTTCTGAGCTAGTATGTGGCGACAAAATATGAAAATTTTGATGAGGGATCGCGCGCCGCCGAAAAACGCCATTTTTTGGATAGCACCTAAAAGGTGAACTATTTTTTTTTCAAAAAGATGCTTGAGGCGCAGATAATTATGGCTAAATAGGGTCTTTGTAGTGTTTTGAGAGAGTTCGGAAAATTAATTAGGCCTACCAAAACAAATCGAAAAATTGAATTTTGAAAATAGCCACCCACCGAGAAAACCCTAGATCCTTTTCTCTTTCTGCTTCAGAGCGTTGCTTGTTATTTTTTCCGCCTCTGCTATTTGAGCTGATCTTTGTTTGTGTGTTTTCAGACATCACATATTTTTGCTCAGTAGTTTTTTTATGTTTTGTTAGTTGTTGCATGCACAATTTATAGAATGGAATCAACTGAACGAAAAGTACAATAATGTAAATAGCTATGTGAGCGTTTCAGAAGATACACTTCGGCCATAGTTGCGGACACCTTCGATTACAGCCGAGACTGGAGAGAGTACCACGGAATAGACCAGGAGCACCCCCAGCAGCAGTACCCCACCGCCATGCCCCGCTACTCCGCCGGCTCCATCGGCACCATTTACTCAGAGTAAGTGCCAACTCACGCCTTGTTCATTATTCTATTGTATTAAAAATCGGCTTTTTAGTTGGCCTGTTATTTGCGATTTAGGTATGGATCAGCTGCATCAATGCCCAGTTCCAGTGTGAGGTTCACCCATACCATGTCCATGCGCAAAAGCACAAAGAGATCCTTTGTTGCGGACACCATGTTTCCCAGACTGCACTGTTTCGTGGAGGAGGAGATTTTGCTGCTAGCCTGCTCCAGCCAGGTGGGTGCAAACACTAAAGCCCAAGCAAAGGCTAATCATTTGACAATCATTCGAGTGATTTGTTTTTCATTATTGCATGAATTAAAAAACATATAAGAACATTTTCAGTACGAGGTTTTGGCTTATTCGTCAACAGACAAAACAAAATTAGAAACAGTTGAACTTAAAATCAAACGGCTTATAAAAATTATCTGTTTTAAGAGAAGAAATGAAAGCATCGAAGAAATAAGACAAAAACGAAAAATATACTTCGTAAAGGAATTACATATCTATGAATTATTAAAGTTACCACAAAAAGGTTTTGAGAACAGAGTGGATATCGACCATTGTCTAGGAAGCTGTAACTGAGAAAAATTTAAATACATTTTTGAATAAGAGAGCATTCGATAGGTAATAAAAAAAAACTTCGATAATTGCTAGAATTAGAAAATACTACCCAGATTTTGTAACCAGGATTCAGAGCTGCACAGAATATCAAATACAAATCTTCAATCATGAGTTTTTGGGCAATTTTCTTCTAGGAAATTATCAACTGGTTGAACTCATTTTTGAGTAGAAATAACATTTTAAAAAAGAACATTTGCTGTCATAAGTAGGTATACTGCTGAAATTTCCCTCTTTTTCGCTTTAAACTTTTTCTTTCACTGAAATCATTTTTATTGATCTTGATTAACTATTGACGTTAAAAACCAACAGAAGTCATAGCAGGATCAGAGGCGCCTGAAAACGGGCTGCAAAGTTCCACGGCGTTCTCGCAAAGAGATTTCATGAGGTTGTAAATGTAGTAAATTTTACAGTGAATAGAATCTACATTGCAAACAATTTATTATGATTATTATTACAATTATCGCGAGGGAAAGGACCCGTATAAGCTCAAATGCTTTTTACGGAGAACTACAATTGTGCCTCTGCTTAAGAACTACACGCAACTTTTGGTTTATTTTTGTTAAAAATGAATTTAGTCATGGACCCAAACAATTATATTATTGCATTTTTTTTTAAATTATGTTGTAAAAATTTTAATCACCACTTGTTTTTCGATGACTTGACTGTGACCAAACTATGTGGTAATATATTGTACTAAAGATACCAATTGATACCTTATGAAAACTTTTGGTTTCAATACTCTCATTTTCATTCTCTTAAACGACATATTGAGTTCAGTTATGAAGACACCATAGCCGAGAGATCATAGAACAATTTTTGTAGGTCAACCTGAGCTGTCCAATTCACTGGGAGTTCGCGATTGACGAAGTCGCTCCTAATTTTCTCTTCATTGACCTTCCACCAGACAAAGTCCTGCCAAGTAATTTGGTCGAGCTCGAGAGGTATCTCGGCCAGGGGTGTTTCGGCGCCGTGTTCAGCGGTTACATCTCGGACCCCTCAGGGAGAGTGGAGGAACGGATCCCGGTTGCACATAAAGTTTATCAGCCAATCAACGTCGAAGAGAGGTTCCAGGCACCTATAGGCGATAAAGACGCTATTGTTAGTAATCAGAAACTCTGGATGTTTGACCCCTCGTTCAAAATTGCTGAAGCGTACGTGGAACTTCGAAAAGAAGCATCGGTTTTAATGGAACTGCAACATCCATACATTGTTTCCTTCTACGGAGCTAGCTTGTCGCCCATTGCTCTAATTCTGGATGTTGCACCAATGGGTGACTTAGCTGGTCAACTGGAGATTTTCAGGAGCGAAAACTCTTTGCTACCACCTCCTGTTGTTAAAGACATCATCTTTCAACTAGCAAGTGCACTTTCCTATTTACATGAGCACTCGTACGTCCATCGTGATTTAAAGCCAGCGAATGTTTTGGTCTGGAGCTTTCCGGCACCTCATCGAATGATGCGGGATCTACCTCTTAAAAACACCTGTTTGGTCAGACTCAGTGATTACGGAATGACACAAAAAGAAATTGGCGAGCAGATGTTGGGGAGACCAGGAACTCCCCAGTACATGGCTCCTGAGATCCTCCAAGACGAAGGACGCGAGATTTTCAACAATAAAATCGACATTTACTCTCTCGGAATGATTATTTATGACTGTATATGTCTAACTCCACCTTGGTTGTCGGTTAGTTTGTTCGATTTCCGAACCATGGTTGCCGAAAATAAGAGACCAATGACAACTACTGCAGCTAAGCAGAGTCCAATGGCGTTCCTGGAGCTCCTTTGCTTTTGCACTCTTCCAAATCCCAAAGAGAGACCCAACGCTTTGGACCTTGTCGATATACTACAGGAGCAGGAAATGTGCAAGCTAATCGAAAGTATCGAAATTAAAACGCCTCCGTTTTTCAAAGTTGCCAATATGGGATTGTCGTTAGTAAGCGGTGACAACTCGCCTCAAGCTATGAACACTATAGCTCTTTTTACAGTTAACGATGTCAGAGCTGACAACAAGTGTAAGAGTTCTGAAACAAGTATCAACGAGACCCAGGCGGTTGAAGTTACACTACTGTTCTACAAAGACATATTGCGAGAAACAACTCGGATGTCCTTGAGCTTCAGTGAAATCTGCGATGATGGTGAAGCTCTGACTTGTATCTGCTGTGTCTATAAGACACTTTGGTTAGGTACCGATAATGGAAGCTTGATTGTTCTACAAATAACAGATGGAAAGTTAGAAGAACGAGCGCGCAACTTCTTGGAGAGACCTGTTCACGACATTTATCACATAGTTCACGAGGGAATTAATGGACACTTTTCATGCGTGGCTGTGGTTAATGAAGGTGGTGTTATTAACTTGTACAACCATCACTGGGAAATAAACAAAGATGCAGATCGAACTGACATGACCCCTATTCGAATAGGGACCCTGGAAGACACTGGATTCAGCAACATTTACGGGCTCTGTTTTGTAACTGGTCGAAATGATAGCGATCACTTCTATAAAATTTCGACATCGTCACCTGTCCCTGATAGCCCAATATCACCAAAATCAGATCCCAGCAAAATGTTGCAGATTCCGCACAATCTGGAGCTATGGATTTCGGGCGACAAAAGCCAACTGAAAAGGTTTAAAGTGCAGAAAAAGACAGCCAGTTTGGCATGTAAAAGTGATGGGATGCTGTTGAAGTTCCAGCCCATCTACCCCGCATTGAAGCATGACGACCAGAATATTTTCGAAGGTCGTCTCAAGGTGAAGAAACTCCTCACATTGGACAGTTGCAGAAGGGTGTGGTCGGCTGGAGCGAAAAGTAAGACAGATAAAAAGTACTACTGTTCGTACTGCCTTTTCTCATACTTCCTGCAGTAATTGACATCAAAGGTGTATTTGTGGTCGGTTACAAGGAAAATTTAAGGGTCGGTTAGAGGGGCTGATGGAGGTTTTTTTTGGGGGGGGGGGGGGGAGGGGGCTGTGGCGAAATTTCAAATAAGTTTCGAACAGACTATCGATTTCTTCTAGGACTGAGAATGCAGGCATAAAAACCATGTTATTTTAAAGGTTTCATCAAAAAAATATTGTATATTATGCTCAAGATGCGCTTGAATAACTTCAGGCTTTAGTTGGTCTATGGTGTAACAATTTATGCTATCGAATTTTTTAGGGTACAAAAATAGCGTACAAAAGAAAGTTTAGGGTGCTAATTTAAATTATCTGGAAACTGAACGTAGCTTGAAACTTTGAACGCGTTTTTCTTAAATTAAGTTGAGATTAGACCAAAAAAAAGATGAAAAACGAAGTTGCTTAGAATTTAAACTTTATGTGCTTTTTTGTTTTGGGAGTTTCGGGGCCAACATTTTACCCCAAAAAAAAACGGGTCGTTTTGGTTTCTTTTAGTGAACCAAAACTTACGCTGAAACTACCCAGTGAATTGATAAAAATATATATCAGAAGAAGCATCTTACCAAGCCCAACGAAGTTATAGAAAAATAGTATCTTCAAAAATTTGTCTAGTAGAATATTTTTGGTTGATTGCCGAAAAGGTCATTTTTACTAATCAAAAATCAAAACTTTTGCTCAAAAGTAAACTTCAAACGTTTTGCACAAATTTTTGGAGATTTTGACCTTCTAGAATTTCGTTGAGCTAAATAGGAGGATTTTTCATACAATTTTTTTTTGATCAACTAACTTAAAAATTTTAGCGCAAATTTTGATGGACTTAAGAGAAGCCAAATTGACAAAAAGAACCAAAAGAAGACGAAAACGGGTCATTTTGGTTTCTCTTAGTAATAAAATACGCTAAAACTACCCAGTTAATTGATGAAAAACAAATATCAAAAAAACCTCCTACCTAGCCAAACAAAATTAATTATGAACAAAATCTCCAATTAGCTGTATAAGGGAATATCATTTTTGGTTGAAAATCCAAAAAGGGCTTTTTCACTTTAAGAAAATCAAAATTTTTGCTTAAAAGAAGTTTCAAACTTTCTGCAAAAATTTTTGGATGTCTTACTCTTCTCAAATTTATTTGGGCTTCATCAATTAACGGGGTAGTTCAAGCGTAGTTTTTAACTGATTAAACGAAACTAAAAAAATGATTTTTGGTTTAAAGTTTTGGTCCCAAAAATTGAAAAACAAATTGCTACTTAGTGTTTGTGGTGAAACTCTAATCAACTTTGGACTAATCTCATTTGAATCTTGGTCTAATCTCAATCCAATTTGAGAAAAGCGCGTGGAAAGTCTTAAGTTATGTTCATTTTGTCCGGACATTTTGAATCAGCTCTGATAAAGAGTGTTCAAATATTACTGGTTTGCACAATTTGACTAGCTAAAGGTCCAAATCAAAAAACTGGTTTTCGTGAAAAAAAACCTCAAGGTATGGTGAGTATCGTCCTGCACCTTGGGTGCATCAAGGAAGGGTGGGGGGTTCTAGCTAAATATGCTGTGTTTTGATGTGTAACATTCTTGCGCCCCTACTCTCTTCAATAATTTTTCCTGCCTTTTCTGCATACCATCAGTTTTTCCCCTGCTTTTTCATTAAAAACTGTTGGTCAGTTATATCTGAAATCAAGGAATTCATATTTGGCATAGGCGTTTGTATCAATAATCACCGTGGTCGATGATTTTTCACCGAATCAGTCTCCATGTTGTTCGTAAACTAATCAACAAATCGATAAAAAAAACAAATACTTTTCAATTTGATGATAATCTTTCTAGTGTAAACTTCAACTTCGATGCTAGAAAAATATGGGTCCATAGTATACTCTTTTTTAAATTTTGCTGTTTTGAAGGACAAAGATTTTGTTTTTCTGCAGTTTCAATTGTGTTTTTGATCAGTTAAAATTGAAGCTGAAGTTTTCCAAACAGGTGAAGGTCAAACTGATTGATTTCTAAACCAAAAAGAGAAGCTTCCGAAAAAAATTGTCACGTTTGCTCTGATACGAGACGCCATGGCGGTGAATATATATCACTTTTCTCTTTGTTTTGTTCAATATCGTTTTCTATGTCGCAGTATTTCACTCCTTTCTGTTCTGTGTCGCAGTTGTTTTTAACCAAATTTCCGGTTTCCTTGGAGTCCTTGGTGGCTTTTTTGCCGGTTACTTACCCTCGGTACTTTTTTTATGTAGAAAGAACTAAGTGCAAAAATGTGGGTAATTATTTTACCCTCCTACCTAAATAAACTGATTGTAAGCGTTTCGCAAAAAGATAGGACTCGTTAAATGGAAATTTGCGGAGAGTTTTTTTTCAGTTTTCTCCTTCTGTATTGTTCCTTAAATCAGTCAAAAAAATCCAATGTTTCGCGCGGTGTGCATATTCTTTACTTATGCTGGAGAACTGAAATGATTCGTTATAAATCGTAAGCTGGCCAAACTTTGAATTCGTTCATGTCATGCTCAGTTTCAGTTCGTCGTTGGACAAAATTTACAAGCCGCAGTCGCTGACGCAAGATAATCACACAACTCGATTCGAGATTTTTCACCTAAGTTGAAGCAAGATTTGAAATGTTTGAGCGGTTTTTTTAGACGATTGCGATCATAATCTTGCTTCATAATGAGTGGTGTGAGCGGTTTTTGAGCAATTTTTCTAAAAAAAAACGCCCACAAACCAAGCAAGATTTGAACAAATTTTGAGTGGATTTTCTAAAAAAAACGCCCATAAAACCGCGCAAAATTTGAGCGGTTTTCTGAAGAAAAACCGCTCAAATCTTGCGCGGTTTTTGAGCGGCTTTTTTCAAAAGTCCGATCAAAGTTGTTCAAATCTTGCGTGGTTTTTGAGCGTTTTTTTTTTTGATAGAATGCCTAAAAACCGCTCATTTTGAAGCAAGTGTTTGAGTGCGATTTTAAATAAAAACGCTCAAACTGCTCATGTCTTGCTTTAAAAAAGGCGAACAACCTCAACTTGGGAAGACAGCGGGCATGGAACATTCTCTAACAAAACTGTCGAGCAAATTTTTTAACGTTCGAAAATTTCAAACAATGTTCTGCGGACTGATAAAAAATAAAAAATTTGATAGGTGAACAATCGCATGCAGCACACTCTAGCACATCGTGGTGTAATTTTTTTGCTCTTGCACATTGATGCCAGGCTATAATCAATAATGCTTAAAAACAATTGTTACCTTACGTATCAGAGATATATGATCAAAACGCTTTCAGAAATGGACGATATATTCTGCTGCTAAGAAGCCTGAAAGTTTTTCATTAGCTTGATATAACGCTTATAATTGCTCCTTCAAACTTTATCAAAAAAATCCTTCTCAAAAAACCTTGAAGCTGCAGTCGTTTTTCAGTTTAATTATCGAATTTTTATCTAGAAGTTTTAGCGCACTTAATTAAACAAAAATTATTATTGGAGAGCAAGCGAATGCAACACACTCTGGTACAGAATGGTATATTTTTGCTCAACACTAGCCATTTGAACCCTCCCTAAAAGCAATATTGCTTAAAAAACGTTACCTTACGGATCAGAACTATATAATCAAAATGCCTCAACTGACGCTATTTTTTTGCTAAATAGCCTGAATTTTTTATTAGCTTAAAATAACGCTTGTAATTGCTCTTTTGAAAGTTGAACAAAAAAAATCCGGTTGGGCTTTTGTCCAACTGGGATTCTTAAACAAAACCTTGAAGCTGCAGTTTTTTTGTAAAGTTCGAATATCGAATATTACTTTAGAACTTTTAGCGCACTAAACCAAAAAAAAGTTTAATAAGAGAGCAAGCGCATACCATATACTTTAGTACAGAATGACAATGACAATTACATTTGCAAAGTTGTATGCAAATATTTCGCTCGGATTTATTTCTGGGTGTTTTCCGTGGGTCTCCAGAGCATTTCGCCCCACACAAAAAGTAATGCAATCATACGTCCAAAACCATTGGACGTCGTCCACTTAGCGAAAAGACGTCAACATTCTTCGCACAAATGGCAATCATTACACTGTCCCCGATGATTGCTAAACGTTCAAGACATCCATCGTCTTCCAAAATCTTATCACTCGTTTATAAGTACAATAAACGAGCTCAACTTTCACGAGATCTAAGGAAAAGGGGTCGGCCTTGACTTTGACTCTTTTTTTTGCTAAAGAAATCTTTAACAGGCAAGTCTAGAGTGATAGCTATGACGTTCTCAAGTGTAATCGGTAACTCTTGATCGCTTGTGTCGATGTTTTTCTGTTGTTATTGCTAGCTGTGCAATTCCAAATGGGGGGCTAGCACCTTGGTCTCGACACTAGGATACTTCCTGCACAATTTGATCGCTTGTGTCGATGTTTTTCTGTTGTTATTGCTAGCTGTGCAATTCCAAATGGGGGGCTAGCACCTTGGTCTCGACACTAGGATACTTCCTGCACAATTTGATCGCTTGTGTCGATGTTTTTCTGTTGTTATTGCTAGCTGTGCAATTCCAAATGGGGGGCTAGCACCTTGGTCTCGACACTAGGATACTTCCTGCACAATTTGATCCCTTGTGTCGATGTTTTTCTGTTGTTATTGCTAGCTGTGCAATTCCAAATGGGGGGCTAGCACCTTGGTCTCGACACTAGGATATTTCCTGCACAATTTGATCGCTTGTGTCGATGTTTTTCTGTTGTTATTGCTAGCTATGCAATTCCAAATGGGGGGCTAGCACCTTGGTCTCGTCACTAGGATACTTCCTGCACAATTTGACCGCTTGTGTCGATGTTTTTCTGTTGTTATTGCTAGCTGTGCAATTCCAAATGGGGGGCTAGCTCCTTGGTCTCGACACTAGGATACTTCCTGCACAATTTGATTGCTTGTGTCGATGTTTTTCTGTTGTTATTGCTAGCTGTGCAAT